TGATGACACAGAAGAACTCATCCACAATATCCACATTGACCGCCACAAATATCCACCGCCCCCTGCCATCAGCTCCCGCGTCTCACACACACACACAAGCGCAAATTTAGCACTAGATTTAGCAACTTTCGGACCCCTTTTAGCGGCTTTTTTCCATAAAATATTCATACTGACAAACCTAGCGACTTTTTTGGATAAACCTTAGCTATGGTTCAGTTGGAAGATTTCGCCAGTGCTGTCCCGTGAACGCGAGGTCTGACTTTCCCGGAGAAGTGTCACCTCTCTCGGCATCTGTTCTGTGCAGTGAGCGGCAGAGAAGCAGCGCATTCAGTTGGCCGCACCGCAGCCGACTCGTCAATAAATGAGTACAAAACAGCGTTTCCAAGCACCTGTCGCTTACTGATTGTTTGGAATTATAAATATGAGCGTAGTTCGTCTGTTAATATCACATGCACTTTTTTGTTAGTTGTTTTTTTTAGTTTGTTACTCAGACGCAGGCAGTGCGCTGCATGAGACAAAAAAGTAATATAGCCAAAACAACCGCATAGCCGCTCTTTAGTGTAGATGCATGTTGATTTTATCAGACGATGCCGCGATTACAAATGTGAGTGACTCCGGCCGAGACACGGCATCACAGTATGGTAAAGGGGCGTAACATTTCCGTCACACGCTTGAGGTATTCGGCCAATCACAATGCACTAGATAGCTGGCCAATCAGAGCACACCTCATCTTTTCAAAACGATGAGCTTTGTAAAAATCTACACGTTTCAGAAAGGCGTTACAGTATGTGGAAAATAATGGGGGTTTTTAACCTTAAACCGCATAAACACATTTCATTACACCAAATACACAAAATAATGTTCTTTTAGCAACATCATATGACCCCTTTAACTTTATTTTTACAGAATTTGTCATTTTAGAGTCATTCTGCACTGATGACTTCTGCCAGCACAATTGAGCTGGAATTTCAGGTTGCTGGTTGATAAGTAGGTTTCGTCTGTGCTCTGTGAGGGAGCCTGGGGCTTGCTGAAAGCTTGTCAGTTGTGCCAGAACAATCCAAAGTGGGTAAGACAGATTACCCTTTTTTTGTAAACTATGACCTATTTCCTCACATCTGAGTCTCATCCAAGCATATATCATCAGAAACCAAAAAACAAATCTACAATCAATGTTATATGACCAAATTTAAATTTAAAATAACTATTATGAACACACAATGCTGGCAAGACAAAATGTCTTATAAAAGCTATTCTTAACTGAACATCATTTTCCGACAGTTGAAGACATCTCTTTTGTCCAAAATCCTTAGGATAAGGATTTTTTGTTATAGCAAATATATTTACCAAGCAAGTTCTTGCATAGCTAGGAAAATATATTTTCTACATAGATATTTCCACAATTGTTCCATGCGGTTTATTCATTTCTCTGACTTTCCCAGACCTGGAAATCGTGTATTTTTTTTTTGTTTGTTTCCCAGGTGTTCCATTAACAGTGGGAACTCTTTGGTTTGTGTACCACATTGTCATAAGACTCACAATCACTGTGTAAACCATCTCTCTGAAGGTGAAAATTGTGATTGTCATCTCCATTGTCCTTCAACACATGGAAAATAAGGCCCAACAAATATATACAACAAGACATTTTGCCATTGACCTGAATGAATGAATATCTTCACAGACATTTGAAACCAACACATGGCTGAGTGGTGTCACTGTCAGCATATGTGTCAGGTTTCTCAGTATGAGATGAGACATAAGCAAAAAAACACACTGCCATGAGTATCACTCAGCTCTTCTGCGCTTTGTGGGGAAAAGGGGGTTTTCAGCCTTACAATTTGTTTCCTCTTTTTATTACAGTACCTACATTTTATTTCCTCTTTATACAGACCTTTCACTGGCCCATCACCCGTTCCCATATGTGCTGCTCTCCTATTCTTCATGTCTTGATGATGGCTGTCATCGATGGTCATGTTGCCTACACCAGATGCTATGTTGTTCCCAGGAGAGTGCTGAGAGTCACCCACCTGTCCAGAATTCATGTGGTCCTGATGGTCCATTTTGAGATGATTTCAGTCTGTAGAGTTAAAACAGAAAACAATTATCAGAGATTTAATGTGGCAAAGTGACAAATAAGTGCTGCATTGCCTTTTAGCCACAAGATACCCAATGTGAGCAGTGAGCATTCAGTCTAAGCATTCAGTAATTCTTTTGTTCTGCTCAGTTTGATTTGTATTTGTTAAAATGTGTATCCTTTATGTAAAACAAGTTATTTTATGTGGTAAAAAAAACTATAAATTATAATTAAAAGTTAATTACCAATGTTTAAACATTCTCATGGTACATACAAAGTGAATATCTGCCATGGTGAATGAAGCACACAAAGGGCAATAAGATTACAGGAAAGAGCAGGAAGTGGTAAAAGACCTTTCTTCCTCAAAAATAGCTTCTGGTATACAGTTTTTATTAATAACATAATTGCAAATGTGGACATGGTCTCCATTATAGGTAAGTGAGCTGTGATATCAGTAAACAGAGCTTAGAAACCATCTGCATCTACAGTCAGTCCAGAACTAGATAAGCAGTGAAAACCACCACTATATCATTAGGGACTGGTTTATTTACCAAAAATGTTTGTGGGGAAAATACAAACTGGGGAGCAACATCTAAAATGCTCAAAAACCGGCAAAAAAAAAAGAGGATAGCCTTGCAGCTGGTCCTCAGCAGATGGTGCATTTAGGATGCTGGTCCTCAGCACGGTATGCTGGTGTCCCCATCAGCCCATAATCCATCCCTTCCAACAACTGGTCACTCACATGATCACAGAAAATAGCAAAAGAAAACAAACCAATAAACTCCCGTCCCGCTGGACAAAATCAAGTCCCAGTGAACATTTTCTTCTCATTCAAGAAACCATTTCACTTGGATATTTCACAATGGTGATTGGTTGATTGCAACTTTCTTTTCAAGCTGACTTTATGAGTTCATTAATATGTACATTAATATGTCCAAATGCCATTGGTTCTTACATAGTTCCACATGATTTTTTTATGACTAAATTTTTGTCTGTTCCTCGCACAAAGCTGAAACAGCAAGTCAATTGATCAGCTTCACTTTCAATGTCATGCTGGTCAACGGGGTTTACCAAATAAGTTTGCTGGCAAAAAACATGGCTATGTTGGTTCACCAGCTAGAATATCAACAAATGGGCACTAACTAGCATAAACTAGCCGGAGGAAGCACATGCTGTTTTGGAAAGAAGAGGACAATTTGTTTACTTGGCGTGTGATTCCATGTTTGCTAGAAGGCTATGAAAGCATGGACATGGAAAGCATGTCAATTTCCATCAATTCAACACTTGATCTTGTCCATAGGGAATTGACTGGATTGTGGAAAGCGGGCAATAGATGGGGCTCAAAAATAAGAGGGATTGATGACATCAACCAGTCTGTAAGCAGAGCAAGGCATTACATCCTGATAAAACACTGCAAAGACAAACATTTTCTTTCTGTGCAATAGCATGCACAATAAATAACCAGAAATGTGTATTAAGAAAGTACACAGTGCAATTTGAGATTTCATGTAGTTTTCTATTTACAGAAGCATTCTGTTGTGAATTTGTGTTTACAAAGCCACCGTTCATGGTGCTCAGCATGCTGGTGCACTTGACCTGAAAGATTGTGAACCCTCCTTGGCAGTGCAGTGAGAATGTCAGTGCCCCTTTAAGAAGTCTAGAAGTCCTGTCTGCCTGACGATGGATGTCTCTCGCTCTCTGTCTCTCTCGTCTTTTCATGGTTAAGGGCTTGGCATGGTGCAGAAAGGGCAATGCTGGATTTATGAAGGATAGACTTGGGAATGCGGAGCGCTCTTGAAAGACAACGCAGGGCGACATGTGGCCGGTTCATTAATATGTACATTAATATGTCCAAATGCCATTGGTTCTTACATAGTTCCACGTGATTTTTTTATGACTAAATTTTTGTCTGTTCCTCGCACAAAGCTGAAACAGCAAGTCAATTGATCAGCTTCACTTTCAATGTCATGCTGGTCAACGGGGTTTACCAAATAAGTTTGCTGGCAAAAAACATGGCTATGTTGGTTCACCAGCTAGAATATCAACAAATGGGCACTAACTAGCATAAACTAGCCGGAGGAAGCACATGCTGTTTTGGAAAGAAGAGGACAATTTGTTTACTTGGCGTGTGATTCCATGTTTGCTAGAAGGCTATGAAAGCATGGACATGGAAAGCATGTCAATTTCCATCAATTCAACACTTGATCTTGTCCATAGGGAATTGACTGGATTGTGGAAAGCGGGCAATAGATGGGGCTCAAAAATAAGAGGGATTGATGACATCAACCAGTCTGTAAGCAGAGCAAGGCATTACATCCTGATAAAACACTGCAAAGACAAACATTTTCTTTCTGTGCAATAGCATGCACAATAAATAACCAGAAATGTGTATTAAGAAAGTACACAGTGCAATTTGAGATTTCATGTAGTTTTCTATTTACAGAAGCATTCTGTTGTGAATTTGTGTTTACAAAGCCACCGTTCATGGTGCTCAGCATGCTGGTGCACTTGACCTGAAAGATTGTGAACCCTCCTTGGCAGTGCAGTGAGAATGTCAGTGCCCCTTTAAGAAGTCTACGCCTGTCTGCCTGACGATGGATGTCTCTCGCTCTCTGTCTCTCTCGTCTTTTCATGGTTAAGGGCTTGGCACGGAGCAGAAAGGGCAATGCTGGATTTATGAAGGATAGACTAGGGAATGCGGAGAGCTCTTGAAAGACAACGCAGGGCGACATGTGGCCAATATGGCTAAGGGGTGGCCCTGACGTGGGCAGGGGTGAGATGGAGAATTGTAATGTGAGTTGGCCAGCTGCCAGTGACGGGCAACTCTCACCTCATCAATATTCAGGACACATTACTGCAGAAAGCACGAGTTGAGACTTTAGTCTTTGCAACTTTACAGATCTTCTTTATGCACCAAGAGCTTGTAACACTCCAAAGACAAAGGAAAAAATGAAATCGCATCATATGACCCCTTTAAATACTTGGTTTACAGTGACGTATTGAGCATCACCTAGGGCTGGACGATTTTTCCGATTTGATCGATTCATTCGCGTTTGTAGAATGCCGTTTCATGCATGAAACACTGCAAGAGACGTGAGCGTAACAGTAAAAGCAGTAATCAAATAAAAACCTGTAAAGAACTACTACTGTATGTCTGAAATTTCATGTTTGCATCATGGTGACAGGCTGAAAGCTGCTGCTCATTGTTTTTACAGAACATTTATAGTTAATAATAGTTTACTGGTGTTAAACCTTCAGTCATTTTGAATTTGAATTACCTTGACTTTTGAGAAAAAAATGTTAAAGCATTTTCCTTGTATTATTTCTGAACATAATGTATAAGACAAGTTTGTATAAGATGTAGTTGTAGTTTATGCATCTTTTTTGCAAAGATATTTAACAAGTGATTTGTTTAACATTTACATCATGTTGACAACTTCTTTAATTTCTTCTTTAAATTTCTTTAACTAGAGGGTTAGTAAAGAAAAAGTTACTTGAATCATGCAGTAGTTAAATTTTTAAGTTGATTAGTTAAAAATCGAGAATCAGTCAAACATTCTGAAAAATTCAAGATTATATTGTTTTGCCATAATGCCCAGCCCTAGCATCACCAAGAATCTAATTGAACTGTAAAAAAAAAAAATGCAAATGCATTCTATGGGAGAAATAGACATGTGGGGGCGTGTTAGAACGAGCCGTTTTAGGTAGGTGTGGCTGACTCTTAACTTTTATAAAGAATATCTCTTTGGATTTGAGACTTTAGTCTTTGCAACTTTACAGATCTTCTTTATGCACCAAGAACTTGTAACACTCCAAAGAGAAAGGAAAAATTTAAATCGCATCATATGACCCCTTTAAATACTTGGTTTACAGTGACGTATTGAGCATCACCTAGGGCTGGACGATTTTTCCGATTTGATCGATTCATTCGCGTTTGTAGAATGCCGTTTCATGCATGAAACACTGCAAGAGACGTGAGCGTAACAGTAAAAGCAGTAATCAAATAAAAACCTGTAAAGAACTACTACTGTATGTCTGAAATTTCATGTTTGCATCATGGTGACAGGCTGAAAGCTGCTGCTCATTGTTTTTACAGAACATTTATAGTTAATAATAGTTTACTGGTGTTAAACCTTCAGTCATTTTGAATTTGAATTACCTTGACTTTTGAGAAAAAAATGTTAAAGCATTTTCCTTGTATTATTTCTGAACATAATGTATAAGACAAGTTTGTATAAGATGTAGTTGTAGTTTATGCATCTTTTTTGCAAAGATATTTAACAAATGATTTGTTTAACATTTACATCATGTTGACAACTTCTTTAATTTCTTCTTTAAATTTCTTTAACTAGAGGGTTAATAAAGAAAAAGTTACTTGAATCATGCTGTAGTTAAATTTTTAAGTTGATTAGTTAAAAATCGAGAATCAGTCAAACATTCTGAAAAATTCAAGATTATATTGTTTTGCCATAATGCCCAGCCCTAGCATCACCAAGAATCTAATTGAACTGTAAAAAAAAAAATGCAAATGCATTTCTATGGAGAAAAAAAATCCAATTCAAGTCTTAGATCAAGGGCACGTTTTGGACATTTTGGACTTTTTTCAGCAAAATCCAGGAACAATTATGAGGCTTTTTTAAAATCATATTAACTGAAAAGAATAATTTAAGAGATTATCTGATTTTCAAAATAATTGTTAGCTGTTAGTTTTCCTACTTGGAAATATGAATGGGTTTAAAATTACACAATCAGTAATGTTTTGCATTGTATATCATCCTTATGTGTTTATGAATTTATAGCTGTCATGGAGATACATTTATACAGTAGATGTAAAATTTCCTGCTATTATTGCAAGTTTGCTACTATTATTGCAAGTATGCATTTTAATTAGCAATGTGTATAAAATGTGTCATAAAATAAACCTACATTTTCATTAGGCATTTATATTCAATTTTTTAAATATATTATTATTTATTTTATTACATTAGTTATTAGTTTATTTT